CCGGCCAGGGTGCGGGGCTCCAAACCACTGCTTCCCCCAGTCCTCTGAAGGTCCCGTCACAGGTCTCCATTCCAGCTTGCCCCTTCGTCACTGTCACGGATATACCAGAACAGCCGGCAAACAGCAAGCACTCAATAAATCCCGGTTGGACTGCTGATGCTTTGAATAAATGACGGATGCGCTTCCGCATTGATCTGACAGCTCCTTGCCAGGCTCACTGTGCTTCGACACAGCTTCCTACCACGGTTCTCTACAAAGTGTCCCTGGAGGCCCAACCAGAATCGCAGCGCCTTCCCAACCCTCCCAATCCCAGCATCTCCTCCGTGACTCCGTGCCCTTCAGACTCTGACCACCGGGTCACACCCGGACCTGCTGCATGCCCTCCTGCCCGCCCACCCACTCTGGTGCTTTAGCTCTCGCCCCCTGTCACCCTCGGAGGCTCTGATGTCCACCCTCTGATGGTTTTACGCCCCCTGTAATGCTCTGAGGCTCTGATGTCCTGGCGGGCTTTCTGGTCTCGCCTCCTTGCCTCCATCCTAACCTGCTCCCTTACAGGGCACTCAGCACCCCCACCCTCCTGCCTTCCTGCAGCTGGATGTGGGCCTGGCGTGAAGCCTGGATCGCTGTTCGCCTCTGCAGATCCTGCCCCTCAACCACGGCAGGTGCCACTGCCAGGGTGTCCCTACAGGCTCCCTGACAGCGCACGGGGCTTGCACCAGCTCCTGGGCAGCCACCGCCCAACCTACCACGGTTCTCTACAAAGTGTCCCTGGAGGCCCAACCAGAATCGCAGCGCCTTCCCAACCCTCCCAATCCCAGCATCTCCTCCGTGACTCCATGCCCTTCAGACTCTGACCACCAGGTCACACCCGGACCTGCTGCATGCCCTCCTGCCCGCCCACCCACTCTGGTGCTTTAGCTCTCGCCCCGTCACCCTCGGAGGCTCTGATGTCCACCCTCTGATGATTTTACGCCCCCTGTAATGCTCTGAGGCTCTGATGTCCTGGCGGGCCTCCTTGCCTCCATCCTAACCTGCTCCCTTACAGGGCACTCAGCACCCCCACCCTCCTGCCTTCCTGCAGCTGGATGTGGGCCTAGCGTGAAGCCTGGATCGCTGCTCGCCTCTGCAGATCCTGCCCCTCAACCACGGCAGGTGCCACTGCCAGGGTGTCCCTACAGGCTCCCTGACAGCGCACGGGGCTTGCACCAGTTCCTGGGCAGCCACCACCCACACCTCCCGGTCACTACCTGCCAGCCCCCAGCCCTGACCGCCCCGTGCACACAGACAGTGGGTCTGTGTGAACATCCTTTATCAGGCACTGAGACCCTGCCAGCCAGGGTTTCTACCCTCCTAGAAACGGGTACCTCCTTCCACAGGATGCCTGCTATCATGCCACTGCCTCAAAGGCCCTTGTTTCTTCGATTATTTCCCCAAAAAATGCACTGGGTCCAGTTCTATACGCTGGGATATGGAGGCCCACCAAGACGGACAAGCTCGCGTTGCTCATTGGGGAGTGGAGGAGGGGGTGTAAAGAACCAGTAATAAACACACACAGATCCTCTTCACGGAACAGGAGTGAAACACTAGTGCTGGTCCCTGAAGGAGAAGCTCGGACTGGCTTGAGAAGCACCTTCTCCGCCAGCCAGCTCTCCACAGCTCTGCAAGCGGGGTCGCCTCCCTCTATAGGCAGCCATCAAACCTTCCTTGCCCTCCACTGACCTCTAACTACAGCCATCTTCTTCCCCTCCCTGTGGACTTTTTAAAAAAGATGACTCTGCACATGCCATCTGCACATTCTTTTTCATTTGGCTGACTTTTAGTTGAAAACGTAATTCGTACAAAAGACGAAAGGAATGTGGAAGAGGCTACTGCAGCTCTGAGCTGTCCCATTACTCACCGACCTACCATAATCCAGCTTCCACTCCCCCAGTCCACAGAGCCCACTCTGGCAAAGGTGACCAGTGACTGTCCCTCCTCCACAGTGGGGCTTCCCAGCCCTACCTGACTGTGCCTCTGCACTCCTGACCCGGGTCCTCCTGACCCAGGGAACAGTTCTGGGAGGTTGCAGTGGACTGTCCCGGCCTCACCAGACTGCACTCCTGACCCAGGTAACAGTTCTGGGAGGCTGCGGTGGACTGTCCCGGCCTTACCTGACTGCACTCCTGACCCAGGGAACAGTTCTGGGAGGTTGCAGTGGACTGTCCCGGCCTCACCTGACTGCACTCTGACCCGGGTCCTCCTGACCCAGGTAACAGTTCTGGGAGGTTACAGTGGACTGTCCCGGCCTTACCTGACTGCACTCCTGACCCAGGTAACAGTTCTGGGAGGCTGCGGTGGACTGTCCCGGCCTTACCTGACTGCACTCCTGACCCAGGTAACAGTTCTGGGAGGTTGCGGTGGACTGTCCCGGCCTTACCTGACTGCACTCCTGACCCAGGGAACAGTTCTGGGAGGTTGCAGTGGACTGTCCCGGCCTCACCTGACTGCACTCTGACCCGGGTCCTCCTGACCCAGGTAACAGTTCTGGGAGGTTACAGTGGACTGTCCCGGCCTCACCGGACTGCACGCCTGACCCAGGTAACAGTTCTGGGAGGCTGCGGTGGACTGTCCCGGCCTTACCTGACTGCACTCCTGACCCAGGGAACAGTTCTGGGAGGTTGCAGTGGACTGTCCCGGCCTCACCTGACTGCACTCTGACCCGGGTCCTCCTGACCCAGGTAACAGTTCTGGGAGGTTACAGTGGACTGTCCCGGCCTCACCGGACTGCACGCCTGACCCAGGTAACAGTTCTGGGAGGCTGCGGTGGACTGTCCCGGCCTTACCTGACTGCACTCCTGACCCAGGGAACAGTTCTGGGAGGTTGCAGTGGACTGTCCCGGCCTCACCTGACTGCACTCTGACCCGGGTCCTCCTGACCCAGGTAACAGTTCTGGGAGGTTACAGTGGACTGTCCCGGCCTCACCGGACTGCACGCCTGACCCAGGTAACAGTTCTGGGAGGCTGCGGTGGACTGTCCCGGCCTTACCTGACTGCACTCCTGACCCAGGGAACAGTTCTGGGAGGTTGCAGTGGACTGTCCCGGCCTCACCTGACTGCACTCTGACCCGGGTCCTCCTGACCCAGGTAACAGTTCTGGGAGGTTACAGTGGACTGTCCCGGCCTCACCGGACTGCACGCCTGACCCAGGTAACAGTTCTGGGAGGCTGCGGTGGACTGTCCCGGCCTTACCTGACTGCACTCCTGACCCAGGGAACAGTTCTGGGAGGTTGCAGTGGACTGTCCCGGCCTCACCTGACTGCACTCTGACCCGGGTCCTCCTGACCCAGGTAACAGTTCTGGGAGGTTACAGTGGACTGTCCCGGCCTCACCGGACTGCACGCCTGACCCAGGTAACAGTTCTGGGAGGCTGCGGTGGACTGTCCCGGCCTTACCTGACTGCACTCCTGACCCAGGGAACAGTTCTGGGAGGTTGCAGTGGACTGTCCCGGCCTCACCTGACTGCACTCTGACCCGGGTCCTCCTGACCCAGGTAACAGTTCTGGGAGGTTACAGTGGACTGTCCCGGCCTCACCGGACTGCANCAGGCCTCCCTGTCCATCACCAACTCCCGGAGTTTACTCAAACTCATGTTCATTGAGTTGGTGATACCATCCAACCATCTCATCCTCTGTCATCCCCTTCTCCTCCTGCCTTCAATCCTTCCCAGCATTAGGGTCTTTTCCAATGAGTCAGTTCTTCAGATGAGGTTGCCAAAGTATTGGAGTTTCACCTTCAGCATCAGTCCTTTCGTAAGTATTCAGGACTGATTTCCTTGTTTTTCATTACTTATATTTTATAAAAAAAAATCACACTATTTTTCAGTGGGAGATTAAATATCCTAAAATCTATCCAAACATTCTTCTCTACTTCCCAGATTATTTCCTCTTATGATCTCCATGTTCTTACCCAGAAAGAAAGAATTTTCTACTTTGTATGTCAAAACCCCAAACTATTTGACCTTCAAAGCATAGAGTAAAATTACAAGTTTTGGATAAAATGTGATGCTCCTGTCATTTATTCATTCAAGTAATTTGGGGGGAATTGTAAAAGTATAATCAAGAATTTAAAGAATATTATTAGTTTTAGCAGAGGGATAACAACAGCATCTGGCACAACTGAAATCTAATGAATAAATAGAGAACCACACAGTAATTTAACAGTCAAGATTATGAATGACTCCAAATAGTTTATGTTCCTCTGACAAAGTCCCACTCTTACAGTAGTTTTTTACTTCCTACTTCATCATCGCATTGTGCAAACATTCCTAATTACATTTTGGCTTACAAATCTGGTTTTGTGAGCTCTTCCTTTTGAAAAGGAAAACAATTTGAGGTATTCTGAAATTTAAAACATGCTCTGCTTTTCTCTTCAAGCTGAGAATTACTGGACTATTCCAAAGGGTCAGGCCCAGGTTTTCCAGCTAGGCAAGCACCCTAAGGTAGATCCTATGAGACAAAAATACATCTGCCCCCGGCCACTCCACTGAGAAATACGTCTAGTCAAAATTTAACTAAAGAAGTTAGAGTAGCTTTAAATGCAATATTTATTTTTTATTGGCAAGTTATTGATACCAGAAAAACAGCTCTCATCTCCTGCTAAATATTCTTGAATATTCCCTACCTGTCAGAAGGTGGAGCTCTAAACATATCTGAAACACTGGCTTTTTCTATGTATGCTTCACAAATGTGTGTAATGACGAGATCAAAGCAGGAGGAAAGTCTTTAGAAAAATGGTTGTGAAGAATATTCCAATTCTCTCAGGATAAAATTACCCACATCTGATACATATATGTTAACTCACAAAAAATATATTTAGGTTGTTCCTCTGAAACTTCCAATGTACTGCCTATGATAAAAATCTAGGTATGGTGATTCCAAATAAAAGATAAAGTGCATTTAAGAGACACAGTTTAAAAAATCAGGACCACCAAATTGAATGTTGGCACGAGCATTAGCACTTACAAGCATCTCGGATGTAGAGCAACATGGCCACGAAGACGTAGTCAACCAAAGTCAGGGTGAGGCCATCGGCAAACAGGGCGTCCCAGACCACCAGGAGGTCCTGCAGCGGGAACTCTCGGCCAAACAGCAGCCGCACCCACCGTCTGCGGGAAACAAAAGCCAAACTCAGGGAACAGTACTTGTGAGAGCAACATAAAGAGGAATCATCTTCTCCTGCAACTGTGAAAAAATCATAATTTTTAACTCATCACACTGAGCAAATATTACACGTAAAAACATAATACGGTAAAGTCCAAGTTTTAGACTTTCAAATGCATTTTGTAATTTTATAATGAGGCCACAATCGTTAAACTTTATTCCTATAGGTATACAACACAAGTACAATATTTGAAAAGGGTAGAAATCTTTCATGTGCATTAGAAATCATAAATCTCAAAAAGGCAAGGATAAAAATGAATGTAGTCTGATAGTGACTTCATTTGTAAGGTTATGAATTAAATAATAATGTTCCAAAATTTTGTATCACTACTGACCTTTTATGTTAACTAGACTCTTGCAAATGGTCATATGACAAATTACTACAGTCAAACAAAAAACTGCATTCTGACATTTCACTCCTATGTAAAAGTATTCATTTTAAAAGTAAATGTGAAAAAAAAAAGATTTTTTTGTCAAGCGTAGACAGTTATTTCAAATGAAACATACAATGATACTTGATTTTTAACTTCAGAAGAACTTATCAACGAGGTTCTCTCTCTAGGGGTATTATTTCAAAACACAGTCACTTCTATGGCCAGGACCAGGAGAAGGGACACGGATGCTACAGAGCAAACACAGAAGCTAACAAGAATATTAAACAGGGTTTGTCTATAATTATATACCATAAATAGTAACACTTCAGACTTTGAGCAAATGCTAAGCCATTTATATCTAATTCTTATAAGAAAATTAAAACAATTCACTTGATATATTTTTATCATTTACTTCTAATTTTATATACATGGCTATAATCCCTTTACTCGAGCCTTTTTCTAGGAACTTCAGCTAGAAATCTATGTGATTCTATCATGCAACAAAGACTCAAAAATTCTAAATTTCTAGTACCAAGAAATAGCACAGAATAGGGGACATTCTCTAAAAATTAGTTCAGAGATATTACCTCTTTGCAAAATTCAAAACCAAATATAACCATCTGTGAGGTTAAAGTGAGGCCAAAAAAAAAAAAATCAGATACTACTTTTTTCAGGGAGTATTACATTTAAGGAGGAATCAAAAAGCTGTGACAAAATAGTGTATAATAACACATACGTATCACAGTTTATTAAGAACCATATGATCAAATACTTGAATTCCTACATTCATATTACCAAATTAATCAACAGAAAAATTAAATTATATTTTCAACTACATCTTAAATTATGTTACTCAGTTTTTTCAGGAAGAAAATTTAATGCCTAAGTGACA